ATCCGTGTCTGCATATATACATCAAGTATAATACGTACATATACAGAGAGAGAGAGAGAGAGAGAGAGAGAGAGAGAGAGAGAGAGAGAGAGAGAGAGAGAGAGGAGGCCCCCGCCCTTCTGGGAAGAGATAAACCGCTCGTTAAAATTCACACGATTAAAAACGTCCCCCCTTTTCGGCCACGTTGCGACACTCCCTCGCACAGATTTACGGCGACATCGCGCGTTACACGCCTGTCCTTAATTAAGGATAATCGTTACAACGCCGGATACCGATCGGAGATCGATCCCGCGACGACGGCACCGCCGCGCAGCCCGGTGCCTTTCGACGTAACTCGCTACAAATTATGCAATTTCCTACTGTAACGGATTGAAGGTTGCAGTTCCCACGTGCCACTTTGCCGGCGAACGTTACAAATGTTGATTGTATGACGACATTCGACCTGTGAATTACGATCGGGCGATGCGTGCGGCGAAATTATTGAGATTAACGGCCGCGCACCTAGAGCGCCGGAGAGCGCGCGTCTTGCCGAATTCCAGACGCCGGCTGCCGGCCGCTGGCCGCGCGCGCGTTACATAAAAACGGTTACGCGGGGAAGAACTCGGATATGTACGTCGTGCCGCGTCCATCCCATAAATTACGCCCGGTGCGTTTCGAAAGCATAGCGGAGCACTTGGAGTGGAATAAGTTATGAATTCTCTTAAATGAAGTAAAGCTCTTATGCGCGCGCGATAAATCAAGGAGTGTCGACATCCCGCCGGGAACGAAAGGGAAACCGGGCGAGGATGCCGACGGGGAATCGCGATAATGAAAACAACGTTGCGTTCCGTAAAATCACGATGAATTGGACTCTCCTACTGGGAAAAAAAAAGAATGAGAGAAAAGAAATCGGCGATAACCGGACGGGCACGCGCGCGAATGCGAGTGGAGTTCGGAGCGGATCACCCAGGTCGAAATTTTGACCCTGCTGAACCTTCAATTTTATTCTACAGTAGGACCTAAGACAGTAAAAGCGGTCGAACTGCAAGTACAAAATTTACTCCTACTTTAAAGCTGACAGTGTCGGCCATTTCTACTTTTGTCAACTTAGCATTAAAGCGGGTCCTTTTAAGTAGGAGCTAAAATAAAGTTTTAGAATTAAAGATCCAAGGGAGGAGTAAAAAATATTATATCATCAAAGTAGGTTATTGCTGGTCTATGTAGGTGTATAGATCAGCTGAGTAGGTGTAAATTATTTTTAAAAGTGTCACAAAAGTACCAAAATTTTGACTCGGGCGTAGTATAACTAGTAGGTCCACTGTCTGTCGGCTCCTTTAAGGGGATGCTGGAGTGATTCTGCACTTTTGCACTTAAAACTGTCTGTTTCGTGGAAAGATTTATGTAATACACAAATTAAATGGCACGTGTACAGATGATCGAAAGCAACTTGCTATTCCGGCTAAATTAAAGAACAATATGACATCACTGAAACTAAGTTTGTAAGTCTAATAAAAAATAATAGTGAGCAACACGCATACTACACGTACTGTATGTATGTGTTGCTCACTATTATTTCTTATTAGACTTACGAACTTAGTTTCAGTGATGCCATATTGTTCTTTCATTTGGCCGGAATAGCGAGCTGCTTTCGATCTGTACACGTAAGCCATTTAATTTGTATATTACACAAATGTTTCCGCGAACTGACAGTTTTTAGGTTAGAAAGGTGCAAAAGTGCAGAATCACTCCAGCATCCCCTTAATCTTCGCGGTCCCGCTCACCGCGTGGTACTCCGCCATTATTCTGGGCAGCAATCCACCGGCGTACTCTCATCGGTCTGCCGAGAACAATGCTGGATGCGCAGAAGGAATCGGCGCAAAACGAAACAAACGACGGAGTGGACCTACTGATTATACTATGGAGCGGATTATCCGAAACCGGCGGGGTCCCTCCTCGCGCGAAACGCCGCGGCATTTTTCCTCTCCCGCGAGCGAAAACGTTCTCGATAGTGCAAACTTCGTTCGCGCTATTTCCGCGATAAAACGCAGAGGTGGCGGGGCCCGAGGGGGGAGGGGGATCGATTGTAAAGTGGCCCCGTGGGACTGGAAAATTGCGAAAGCGGAGCGTGAAACGAGGAAAAGGCCGCCAGGAGAGGAGAGCTAGGAAAGGATAAATGTAGCGACAGACTGAAAGAAGAGAAGAGAGAGAGGAGAGAGAGAGAGAGCGATGCGAGAATCGTGAGACCGGGCACGACGACCGGCATCTCTCGTTTCCATCAGAGAGTGCCCCCCCCGATGCATCCATCTATCCGTACGTTTCGTTGGCGAATTTGCGAAGAGGCGAAATCGAGATTCGCACGTGCACGCCGCACGGCGTTAGACGCGCGCGCGTCTCCTCTCGCGTGAGAGCGAAGCGCCGCGTTCGGGGTCCATCGGCAGCGGGAGGGGGCACGCGTGATCGAGAAATCTATTCGACCACGCAACGTTACGTAACGATCGGCCTCCCACCGCGCGATCCCGGCGATCGATCCAGTTACACGGGATTTCGTTACGGGAAGTAATTCCGCGCGGGCAGAAAGCCTATACACGTGCCTTTCCCGAAAGAGAGCAGCGCAGATCTTTCTAAATTGAGATACGTCCAGGTGCGCGCTCGGCCGCGGAAACTGCGTTGACTTTTTCTCTCCCCCCCCCCTCCCCCTCCTCCGAGATATCGCGCGGTATCTCGTGCGCCGCGGAGGAAAATGCAAATCACGAAATAGGAAGACGGATTAGTCATGGCAGGAATATTCGTCATGTCCAGCCGCGGAAAGTGAAAAGACACAGCGTAATGTTAGAGAGTCCGCTCCGAACAACCAATTTGCATTGCAGAAGTTCGTTTTACCTGATTGCAACGGTTATGCAGGCAACGTATATTAGTATCGTTAGCTTAACCTGAATTTGAGCGCCGGCGGACGCGCGTGCAGTCCGTCTTGCATAACGCGTACGCGCGCACGCCTCGTCAATATTTTCAGAGCCAAAACAGAGCTCCGGGGCGAGGGGCGTGCAGGAGAAATGCGGCGCGTCTAAAGCCGCCGTTTGCTCTAGCAAAACGGTTATTTAGCGCGTTAAGCGGCAGGAGTAGCTTCCTCTTCGGGAGACGCGACGCCGTAGACGCTAGGAGCACGCGGCACTCTCGTACGTAACGGCGCGATGATAGAAAAAAAATCACGGAACGCCAGTCATAATCATAATTTCACTTTCAGTCGATCTTCGTTCTCGTTTTGCCCGGTAACGTCTCCCGTTAAGTCTTGTGTCCACGATCCACGAACCGTGTCCAAGTTCTAGTTCCGAGAAATGTGTAGCCAATCAACTTGCTTTTCCGTAAAAGCTGAAAGTTGATTGGCTACACATTTCTCGGGACTTGGACACGGTTCTTGGATCGTGGGCAGAAGGCTTTAGGGCCTGTGTCCACGATGCTAGGACTTGGTCAAAGTTCTAGTTTCGAGAAATGTGTAGCCAATCAACTTGCAGCTTTTCCGTAAGAGATGCAAATTGATTGGCTACACATTTTTCAAAACTAGAACTTTGTCACAGTTCTTGGATCGTGGACACAAGGCTTTAGGGCTTAAATCATCTATTGCGGACTGGGACTGAAGCCTCGTGCCCACGATCCAGGAACTTGCTTTTCCGTAAAAGCTGAAAGTTGATTGGCTACACATTTCTCGGAACTAGAACTTGGACACGGTTCTTGGATCGTGGACACAAAGCTTTAGCGCCAGTCCACAGTAGATGATTTAAGCCCTAACGGCCTGTGTCCACGATGCTAGAACTTGGTCTAAGTTCTAGTTCTGAGAGATCTGTAGCCAATCAACTTGCAGCTATTTCATAAAAGCTGCAAATTGATTGGCTACACATTTCTCGGAACTAGAACTTTAACCAAGCATCGTGGATAGGCCTCAAGCTCTAGAGCCTTCTGTTCACGACCCAAGAACTGTATCCAAGTTCTAGTTCCGAAAAATGTGTAACCAACAAACTTGCTTTTCCGTAAAAGCTTAAAGTTGATTGGCCACACATTTCTCGGAACTAGAACTTGGACACGGTTCTTGGATCGTGGACACAAGGCTTTAACGCCTGTCCACAATAGATGATTTAAGCCCTAAGCCCTAAGAAATTGACCAATCGCGGTAAAAAAATGAGGAGAATGCTCAACTAAGATTGGTCAATTTCTTATTAGGGCTTAGGACTTACATCATCTATTGTAGACTAGGACTTGCGGGGGAGACGTAACGCGTGCGCGCGCGCGCGATATAACGGAGAAACAAAGAGCAAAACGTCCGATCGAGTCAATGATAATAATTTCTTGAACGGTTTCAAATACCGTTACGCGCGCAGATTGAAAGGAACGGCGTTTGATCGGGCATTTATTCCACCGCTGTTGCTTCGTTCTATATATGTATCTATCATCAATAAAGTAAAAGTACGGATACTGTGATTTACACGCGCACCGACGGCCGCAAGAACGTAGCCGCAAATAATTGAAAGATAGATCGCTTCATCTTGAAAAGAATCGGCGTGCATTCCGTGTGGGCATGGCACTTGGCGGCCGCGTGAGCCACCAATTATCCTATCGTATTTCACCCGCGAGGAGATTGATGCTATTAAATTTTTTTCCGGTAACGCTTAATCGTAAAAACGATCGGTAATTTCTCAAGCGCGAGATCGTGTGGCGCGTTGGTTATAGGGGGAAAAAATCGCGTTTAATACGTCATGCGAACCGAATGAAGTAATATCGCGGCGCATTGTGCCCGATGCCGAGGTAACGAGGTAACGTGTTATTATTAAGTAGCGTTTTTCCACTCCCCCGTGCCACCGTCCGTCGACGTAGCCGCGACTGCGATTGAACCGCGCGCGCAAGAAATCGCGATTCTCTCGCGAGAGAGTCGGGACTGCTCGGCGCGAACGAATCGAGCGGAACGACGACACGTGTGATAATCCGCCGAAAAGTGTCCGCGAAACCGCGGAGAAACAAAGGGAGAGAGGACCGAACTTTTTACGCCGCCGGTTACCCTTTACTCGCCGCGAGATTCTGCTTCCCTCTAAAAGTCGATCGGCGGATTATCACCGAAAACGTCGAATACCCGAGTCGAATGTTTTGGCCTCGGTTTAGCCTCGTATAATTTTTTGTTGGGACCAATGACAAACTGAGGTCTTTGTGTCGGAGAAATATTGAATTTTTGACCTCAGATAGGCCTGACAAGAGCCGCCATTTCCTTTTTAGCAACAACGAGGCCAATGCGAATGTAATCAGCAGAGGTTCAATGGATCCTCTTCGGCCTAAGAGGTTTCAAAGAGAGTGAAATATTTTATTACTTTCTCTTTGATGGTTAGAATAAGGTTAGACACTTTTTTTTACGCGTCTGGGCCTCAAATTGGAGTTTCAAACCGACTCCGAGGTCCAAATGAAGACAGAGTAGAAAAATCGAGACCCATTCCGGGACCAGACTCGGGTGGTCACTGATTTGCAGCTACAAATATACCACTGAAAATCGAAATGGCTATTTTAAGATAAACGTGCAGTGATTTGTTGAAACACATTTTTTTTGCTGAATTGACGAATATTGTTACGAATTGATAAACACCTGCCTGGCAGCTCGCGATCGCCGCATATAGAAGTGTTTCTTGATTCAACACTTTTTCTTCTCAGCGGTGCTTGTAACTGTAAATCGATGACTGTTGACTGTTTTCAGCGATAATCCGCTGAGTGACTTTTCAACGCTCCCGTCGATCTCGATCGCGGGATTTTAGAACGGCCCGTTTTACTTCCCCTCGCCCTCCCCGCGGCGAAGTCCGTAGCGCGCTCACTTTGGACGATCGGGAGAGAATAATATCTCGGTCGCCGTTTGGATAGATGGTCTCGTTGCTCCCTTTCGTCTGCTGGGGCAGGGCGATTTCGATCAACCGATGCGTGACGCGCGCGAGCAGGATGTCGTTTACCACTCTTAATCTAAGATCGCGGGGGGAAAAAAGAGTGACGTAATTATGTAATTTAATGGTATATTATTTTGTTACATAGACGGGGACTTTTGCAAAAGGAGCATAGAAACCGCGGGCCTGCAGGTTTACGGCAGCGGCCTTTATTACGGCGGCGGCGCATCCACCTCCGCGTCTTGGATCGCTACGGGAGCCACCGTGATTCTCTGGATCGTCTCAACGCTCTATTGAACGCAGCCGACTCGACGAACAGCCGATTCCCAGTGAGAAATGATTCGTCGATCGACGTCGAAATGATTCGATGGTGTCGATGTCGACTCGACGTCGTCTCGACGTCGATCGACGAATCATTTCTCACTGGGTTCGCCATCGAGCACTGATGGCAATAAATTAAGGGACAGCCCGTTACACCGTTAATCCGCCAAGATATACCAAATCATATTCCTTACATAAGGTACATAAAACGCAAAGGAAAAAATACTTAAATTAGACACATCCGCTCGAATATATCTGGTCGGTTGGTGGCAAAAATAATGATCGTTACTGCCAAGTAATATTACAGTACACTCTTGTCAAGCGCGCGCGCCTGTGTATATATGTGTGTGTGTGTGTGTCAAGCTGCATGCCTTACGTGATGTAAAAAAGTCGCACTGTCGGTTTACGAAATTATTATTACATTCTGTAGATCTGTATAATTAATATTACGTATATCTGTGTAATTGTAATACCTGTAATTGTATCAATATTAAACGTCTACTACTATTATATCGTATTATAGTATTACAATTAGGGATATAAAGCGTGCGTGAAAACGCGTGTATCGTGCGTGGGTGTAAATGTACAAGTGTCATTCCCATATACCTGAACGGCTCATGATTCACGCCCTGTAACTATTAACACTGTTGGTTGATCGAATAAAATTATGCCTACTGTTGTAAAAAAAAAAGAAGGCCGGGATTTTCGCTCGATTGTCCGACGTTGCGTCATCCACGCCAACATTTTCTAAGCATCTGGCGTTCTGTACGCTCCGGTTCTTCTAACGGGATTGCAAAATCGCGGCACGCAGCACCGCCAGGCATCCTACGGCGCTACTTTTTCAGCGCGAGCGGGCCGAATTATTATTAATAAATAAGGTCTTTCAGTCGACATTAACCGGTCGGTGTTTTTAATACAGAAAATCTGTTGCGAAAAATATTACCTCAAGCCAGAGCTTGGACCTGCACGTTGACGTGCCTCAGTGGTCGAATTGGTGAGACGCCCAAGTCCAGGTTCAAACCCTGGCGGAGGTAATAGTTTTCGCAATAAATTTCCTGTATTAAAAATGTTGACTAAAAAGCTTGATTATTGTTATCTAGGGCAGCTTAAAGAGATTTCTATGCTCGAATTGTTATTTTTCCCTCTTCGGGGAATTTTCCCTCCGCGAGTGTCGCACAAAGGGAGCTCGTTAAACGGCACGTTGACTCTCGCGTCAACGATATAGAGGGCGGATACGTCATATTCGGGAAAGAAGGAGGATTCCCCTGGATCGACGCGTGCAAAAGCTGTTCGACGACAAAAGCCACGCCGGACGGACTCCCTTATCTTGCGTAATTGAAAGCCGGCGAAATCGCGTCCAGGTGAAATCGCGCATTTGCTGTCAAATTACCGGTAAACTCAATCAGACCACCTTATCCCTCGCCGCTTTATTGCATTTTTTTTACCGCCGTCATTAGATCGCTCGAATATTCCCTCTTAACTGCCATACCGCGCGTATCATTTTTCGTTCGCCTCGGCGTTAGCAGGTCGTGAATGCGAATAACGATTTCCAAGACAATCTCGGTAAATAACGTGTAAACGTACACGATTGCGCATCAGTTCGCTATTTGACCGCATTCTTCTCAATTACGGCAAACATTACAGCAAACAGTATACCTGGATACTAAAGATTTTATAACGCTGAGTATGACATTTAAATTATCGATTAGCCGTCAAAATTTCAATAAACTTTAATAAGGAATTTTAGCAATTATATAATTTAAAACAAAGGCACATGAAAATTTTTAGTACAGCAAACAGCATGTCTTATCGTTATAGATAGTATTCGTCTTCTGAAAAATTATCAACGTGAAATTAGACGAATATTAATCTCGGATAGAAAATTACGCTCAACAATGGGAGCACGTGTCGAGCCCTTTTGTCTTACGGCCGCTCTCTCGTCCGATTTTTCGCTGCGCCGACGCGTAGGACGTCGGCTTTCACGCGAAAGAAACGCCGTTATTGTTTGCAGAGGCACGCCACTGAAACGTTACCCGTAATTGCACAAAGGTGGTCCCTGTCCAGAAAACTGGTCCGCCCGCCTTGCGTAATGAGAAGACGCGGAAATCGACGGCGTCGGGCGAAAAAAAAAAGAAACGCTTGCGTCATCATCGAACGTGCGCGCGCGCACTTGGTCGCGCGCGACACCGGAAATATTTCTGATCTTATCATTTCACACGGCGGACACGACGCATACCAGCTCACGCATAATACTCGCCGACGACGAAAGCGGAATATTTGATTTCGATACCGGTCGCGCGAGTTTCATATCTTCTGACGCGGCGCAGATTGATTTCCCGCATTTTCGCGATCCGATCAGCCCGTCAAATTAACGACGTGGCGTGCAATTATTCCTCCCTTGCATAATCGAGAAATAATTCGCGCCGCGAGCCAGTCCGCTTCCTGTCGCGAAGGAGATACGGCGGTATCTATTAACCGACACGACACGGATTTTAATCCATTCCGGGATAGCTTACACGGAAATGGACGACGGCCGTAAAAAGGCCGCAGAGTCCGTAGTGCCTCACGGCTCCACATTGATCTATCCCGTTACGGAATCGTAGATTGCCCGGCAATTAAGCGTCATCGTTATTCTAAGTTTCTATTCAGGAATCGTTTTGAAATTCTTACTTAACGTGAACGAGATATTACTTCACACGATACATCCGACGTTACCTCGTTATACGTACGAAACGGCGATTCGTATTCCGCTCGCTGCATGTCCGCCATTATTAATCGGAAAATGAGAAATCAAGTTGACCGTCGGGAATACATAATTCAGGCATAGGCGCCACCTTACCAACACGTGTACGGGCTCCTAATTCTCTTTACAAATCCCCCAAAATATTGCAATTTTTGAAGGGATGTTAATTTCAATGACTACCCAGTGAGAAATGATTCGACATTGACACCGTCGAATTGACGTCGATTCGACATCATTTCGACGTCGATCGACGAATCATTTCTCACTGGATACTGGAGTCGAACTTTTGCTACTATTTTCACACTTTTAAGGATAATTTACACCTACATAGACCAGCAATAACCTACTTTGATGACATTATATATTTTTATTCCTCCTTTGAATTTTTAATTCTAAAAATTTACTTTAGCTCCTACTTGAAAGGACCTACTTTAATGCTAAATTGGCAAAAGTAGAAATGCCCGACACTGTCAGTTTTTAAGTAGGAGTAAATTTTCTACTTGCAGTTCGACCTCTTTTACTGTCTTAGGTCCGGGGATGCTGGAGTGATTCTGTACTTTTGCACCTTTCTAACCTAAAAACTGTCAGTTCGCGGAAACATTTGTGTAATATACAAATTAAATGACTTACGTGTACAGATCGAAAGCAGCTCGCTATTCCGGCCAAATGAAAGAACAATATGGCATCACTGAAACTAAGTTTGTAAGTCTAATAAGAAATAATAGTGAGCAACACATACATACAGTACATGTATACATGTCGCGAGCTGCTTTCGATCTGTACACGTAAGTCATTTAATTTGTATATTACACAAATGTTTCCGCGAACTGACAGTTTTTAGGTTAGAAAGATGCAAAAGTGCAGAATCACTCCAGCATCCCTTCGACTCGAGTACAAGTGATAATAAAGAAATAGTTATTTCTACCAACTGTGCACACTCATACTCTAAAGCCTTGTGTCCACGATGCTAGAAATTGGTCCGAGATCTCGATCCAAGGAACGTATAGCCAATCAACTGTAGCTTTTCTGTAAAAGACGCAAATTAATTGGCTACACATTTCGTGGACGCGAGGCTTTAGGCGGCATAAACGATTTGATAACCCGT